TCAATATTATTATCATTTTCATTACAATCGAGGACATCAGTATCGCAGTATCAGTAACCGATCGCACAACTTTTATGTTCCTGATAATCTCGTCAAGAGACGCGGAAACAAAATGCTTTGTAAGTTGTGTTTCATCTCTCGGCCAGCATTCTTCGCTCAAGGCCTCTATGGAACGCCAAGCTCTGACCTTGACAAGTATATGTTCGAACCTCGAAAATACTCTTTCGTAATCGAATATTTGCTATTTCACTGAATATTGATGTATTTTTAACACTATGGGCTTTGCTGTTTAGACCAGAAAAAGTAAATACCAACGACTAAACTAGTGTTATGTATATCGCAGATAATGCACATTATGGTATACACAGTACATTGTTATTTTCATTTCATGTGTAATGAATCAAACTGGTTTATTTTACGAATTATGTGTTTTTTGTCGCAAACAATGTTATATTATCACTTTGTTTCAATCTCAAATGTTATGAATTACAATGTCAATTTGTAATAGTAATTTACACACTATCGCCAAGTCCACGAATTCCAACCAAAAATTTTACATCTCGTCATTATTACTCTGCATTTCCAATTACCTAAATAAAACTGATAAATTGGACTGACAACGACTATCTATATCTAATATTTTTTATACATGAATGTTATGTTCGAATGTAAAATACTGTATTTTAATTTCCTTGTAAACAGGAAACAATAGATGGTTGATAAAAAAAATCGCCATTTGATCAAATTGGTCAAAATTAAATCTTGGTGAGAACTTGAAAAAAGACAGCATCTAAAATAATCTAACAATTTTGCAATTAACATAAAAAGGAGTATCTAAAAAATATCCTTCAAGTTTCAGAAAAGCCATTTAACTTATATCAATGAAGCATGGATAATCTCATCAGATAGATATTGGTCATTGAGGGCACACGACAGAAAAATACAAAGCTTTTTTATATAGAAAAAAATAATATAAATAATACATGTAAAAAATGTAGAAAGCTGAGATTCTAAGATAAAGAATCTATATGAAAAAATAATTAAAATATAGTATATTTTGAAAAAAAAACAATGAAAGCAAGAGAAAATATAGAAAGCTGAGATTCTGATATATCAAAGTATCTATATAAAAATAATTAAAATAGAATATATTTTAAAATAATTTAATTTTAAAATATATTATATTCCAATGATATGGAGATATCCATGCTTCATTGTTGATCTAGTAAACTTAGTGGCATTTCTGAAACTTGAAGATATTTTTTTTAGATGTTGATTATATATTATTACTAATTCTACATTATTTGATGAGGTTCATAACATATTTCTAAGTAAAACAAAATTATATTTTTTAAAAATGTAGGTTCTGTAATTATTTTTGAGAAAAACAATATTTTTATGTCATGACATATTTTATAGTTTTGAAATCAAAATTTTTAATACATTTTTTATAAAACATAGAAATACCCTTTTAAGAAAGATAACTCAAAATTGACTTGTACAAAGAGCATATACTCGTAGTATTAGAACAATAACAAACAACTCAATACTTTCTTTTCTATTCGTTAGATAAATTATAACAATGTGTAATGATTAAAATATAAAAATAAAACATTACTTTTAATTAATAAAATTAGTTCTCATCAAGAATGGATGTTAGCCAATGAAACCAAATGGCCATTTTTTCAACCATCTATTCTAGTTTATTTTTAGTTAAAATTTGGCAAGAAAATTTAGATGACCAAGTTTATCTATATTTATATACAGTTGTTATCTAATCTAAATTCTAAATCTAATTTTATGAAATTAGAAGTTATGTAATACAATATTCGAAAACCAAATGAGTATAGTAAAGTTATCCTGAAGATATACCTATAGTATGAAGTTATAATTCATACTATAGAAAGTACTATACTATAGTATTATAGAAGAAATATGCACTTTTTGTAATGAAAAATCTAGATTTGGCTATATTTGGAAGTATCATTAGTGATATGTTGAATAAATGATGCATGGCATAGTTTGTATTTAATTCTGCAGTTGTTCTTTCAGTTTAATTTAAAAAACAACGTATTTACCATAACATCTATCAGAATAAATTATGTATTAATTTTTATCTATACAGAAACAACTTGGACTAATAAATAATACTATAACTCATTACCATTATTTAATCAATTATATACTTGAGTATTATTACAGTTCAACAAAAAATCCAATATTCTATATATAAATTGATAGCTACCAGAAAGAAGTTCAAACCATATATAACAAATGTATCACATAATACAAATTATGAAGTGTTGAATAAATAACAAGCAATTTCTCAATGTGTCAGATACAAGCATTTATGTCCAATTAATTTAACTAATTCGCAAAGACTAACAGCAAACGATTATATCTATTCAATAAAAAATCACCAATAAATCGTAATCAATAACTCATTTATGCAGATTTTTACAATGACAACAAACTGCGTGTTTTATGAATACATAAATTTATGATAACCTTCGGCAAAATACCTGCATTTTGTAATCCAGAAGCAATCATTTTTAACAAGAATATAATTAGCAAATTATACAGGAGGAAATTATCTGTATCCAGCAATTATGAAAGCGATTGCATTTTGAAGGTGGAAATTTGATGGCATCGAAGGAAAGGACCAAGTACAATTTTGTAGTAAACTAAAGATTTGCACAAAAAATATTGTGAATTTCTTTACTATATCAGATTTTTTATATTATATATTTATTTTTGTCTTAAAATAAATTCTTTGTCTAAATCTTCGTTGTAGAATAAAGATCACATAAGAAAAAAAAACATTTTGTAATTTGGCAACTTTTTAAAAATAAAATAGTGAAAGATTACATCAAAACCCGAAAAAAAATTATGCTATTTTTTATTACAAAGTAGTGCTGGGGCAGCATTTCTCAAAGTATGCTATAAGCAACGTTTGTATTTCAAAATTGAGAAAAATTTAAGATATTCACTAAATAATAGAAATAATGAAAAAATTAAAAAACAAGGTTATGGAAAAGTTTTTTTTATTTATTTATATATTTATAGCAATCAAGATACAATTTGATCTTATAAGCTATTGTGACACAAAGGAGAGGAATCGAAAGAAAAAAAATAATAAGAAGAAAAAAAAGAAAAAAAGAAGAAATCATTTAGAGTTCACTCCAATGAGTGAAGCCTAGTGTTTCACTTGAATGAAAAGTTAGGTGAAAAAAAAAATAAATTTGTTTTTTCTCAACTATTATTCGTGTTGATTATATCCCATCCCTGATATTACATATAGGCCTCAATTATATTTACTATATCTTTGACTAATTAATAAAACTTCAATAATAATTAATAATAATTTCAATAATGAAATATTTCTATTCCATACGTTTAAGAAATGTTTTTTGTGATTATAAATAGAATGCATGTCTGTATAAATTGAAAGCGATGAGATTGTTGAAAAACATTGATAGTTTAATAAATGCTATCTGAATGTATTATTTATTAATTGCACTCTAATATTTATTTTGCATTTTATGTTAGTAACATGAAAATAGAAAAATTAAAATAAAATCACTGATGTCACAAGGTCTGTGTATTGTGTACGATCAGAAATTGCTGATATCAATTCAATGCATTATTTATATGCATCCGACGACTTTATGAATATAATAATCAGATAATGAGGCCAGGGTTTGGCATCGAGTAACAAAATTTTATACCTCTGAAGTGATCAAATTTCATAACATTCGTTTCAGATTTTATTACCTACATATTTTGTTTTGTTTACTTGAGAGTCGGATTCAATAATATTGCGAATTGTACCCAATAAAACGAAAGGTGTGACTACTTATAGTAATTTATATATATATATATATATATATATATATATATATATATATAATAAAATGTGCTAAATAATTTTACTTTAATTTTTTAACACGTTCGGAATAATAACTCTAATAATTCGGAAAAATAAATGTGATATCCGAAATTTGATTGAACTATAAAGGCAGTCAGATTATCATATTTTATTCGTATATACTATGAATGCTATAGCATCCATGTCAAGTATTAGTAATACTGTATGACGCTTTTATGTTGCGTAATGCTGCTTGTCCAAAAGATAAAAAAAAGATAATACGAAAATACCTAAATAATCAGTCATTAACTTGACAGGTATAATAATAACAAAATTCAGAAACTTATGTTAAATCGAATTCAAAATAATTGACTTTAAAATTTGAATGCTATAGCATTCATGACATTCTGCATAACATGGAAAATGAAGACTATTGCATTCACGTCCGTGTTAATATGTGATCTTCATACCAATATTAAGCCATTAAATAAATGTAAAGTTTAATTTAGGACAATGGAGGTACTTTAATTAAATTTGAACGCAAACCTAAAATAAAGCCTCAATTAGATTTAGAAGTGGACTCAGATCAAGACAATGATATCAGTTTTAATCACTTATCAAATTTCATTTGCAAGTGCGATAATGCATTAAAATATTGAACTTGAATTAAATTTAAACTAACTACATTGAGATTTCGTAACATCGCAACTCTTCAGAAAGGCGCGCGATTGTTGTAAGGGGGTCGTATGATTGCTTTTCAAAATACAATTCAAAAAAAAAAAAAAAATTAATAATAATAGTAATAAGTAAAAAATGTTTAAATGATATTTTGACAGAATGTTTTGATTTTTAGTCTGATAAACAATAATATCAGTTGAGTATTTATAAAATTATATTGTTAAAAAACTTAAAGGGTCGCCGCTTTATTTTTCCAAAACAAGGAAAAGTGGTGCGCAGTACTGAAAGGATGGAAACCACTTTATTAGATATAGCAACTACAAGCACTAATTAAATAGTAAAACCACGTGTTCGATGTTTTCCGTTGCTAATGGACATATTAGTATGCAACGATATTAATATATTTATTTAAAGTTTTCAAAACTAAAAATGTACATGATGTACTTTGACTCACCAATACTGTGCGGATAAAACTCCTTAAATTAGAAGCAAAATTGTTCCGTTTATCACACAATTACGAGAGTCGTCAATATATAAACACATTAACTTAAAATATATATTTTAGCGTCAAACATAGAAATAAAATATGTAACACTTGTGAATAAAATTATACTGCTCGGAGCAGAGTCACACCACGCCGCGATGTCCACAGTGGTTATGAAACACTTTCCTAGGTCTGAAGGCACATGTATTTATTATCGATAAATCACTGAATAAATTTCTATCCTAATCGATATTCCACAACATTTTTTCACATAAAGTTGGCACCAACTAGAAATTTTCAATTGCGACACTGTTGAACATTACAAGATGTCGTTAACCACGTTTGAATTTGAATTCACCGGGGATGAATATCGTTTTGGTCGAGAGTTGTTTATATTATATTAATAGGTGGTTAGCTTCGAAGCCGTACGACTACTGACTGCCGGAGTACATTCGTTCGAGCCATTTACAGCGATATAGGTACCCAGGAAGGAAGCCTCGCATCATGCCTACTACACGGGGAGCAATACACAAGCTGAGCGCTCAACGGCGATCGGACAGAGGTCACCAGCTAGACCGCCGGCGGCAAGGTCACTACGTCAAAATGCGCGTGATTCAGACGTACACAACGTTATGGATGGACGTAACGAAATTTATGATTATATGCATTTCTAGATGTGACAACTACAGAGGTGTTTGGGATTTTGTTATTAGTCAGTTGAGGTTAATAGCATGACATGGACAAAGCATTGGCATGGTGTAGGGATTTCTGAAAATCCCGAGACAAAGAACATAAATATTAAATTATAAACTCAAAATTAGCACTTGTTGGAGTCATTCTCTAACAATATAATTTTTATGAGACTAATTTATATGTGTGTTTGAAAGTGTGTGTGTGTATGTGTGCGAGTGAATGACATAAGCCAAAAATACCTCATAGAATTGTGATGTATTCTGATTGCTATTGAAAATAAAATTAAAAAAAAAAAAAAATAGCACTAGAAAACAAAATTCTAACTAACTCCCCGTAGGGTAAGTTATAGTAATCGCAAAAAAATCAAAAATTAAAATTTTTATATAGAAATACGTTTCAGAGGTTTCTGAACATTTTGGCATACCGTAAAAAGAATGCATGTATGTATGACAAAGTATGTATGTGCGACGATTTCGCGAACACCGATCAACCGATTTGAATAATTCAAAAAAGCATTCGATTCCTGCTGATAAGGAGATGCTGATATGTTTTTGGCAAAGACGTCTAGCCGTTTCGGAGTTTTTTTTTTATTTTATTTGAACAGCGATCAGAACTTATGTGTTCTATGAGCTGTTACATATATCTTACAAACTACGTTTGTTTTATTACAGATGGCAACCCAAACAGTTGTCACATCTCTTTATGATAAATTTTTATTACAATCTCTGTAATAGGGCAAGTATGGTGCAACAATACCGGGTGAGAGATATTTTCACTTGGAAACATATTGCTATTTATATTTCCAAGTGAAAATCGTTGTCACTGTTGCCTGACAACAGGCTGCTCGAAGTGGGTATCGAACCCGAGACCTCTGAAACAAGTCGTTTTGGAGATACGGGAGAAAAAGTGTCAAAAATGGTATTTTTAATTTTTGAGATAACAGAGCGTCCGATTTAACATTTGAAGTCAAATTTTTGTAAAGGCAGGTTCAGCATCTCTGGAGATCCAATAAAAAAAAGTAAAAAATAATGCCATTTGGCGATCGAAAATGAACATTAGGCATATGTATATCATATTATCAGATATTTTATAAAGATTATAAAAATAAATAAAAATTTGGTGTACATTTATGAGTTCCGTACCAATGTTTACACGTTAGTCGAATACGCGGCGCTTACGCGCTTTGATATTTCGCCTCCAAATCAGCTATGCAGCTCGATTGCTTACCAAATCAAAACTACTTAGAATGATGACAGATGCATCCTGGTACGTGAATACTAAAATTCTGCATACTGATCTGAAGGTGCTATATTAAAGACTTTTTAAAAACAAGATCCACTAAACATCATCAAAATTAGAAATTCGAAATTAGAAAATTATGCAAATTCACTTGTTACTCCGCTGCTCCGTACACCAGAATTACGAAGACTAACAAAAATTAAGGCCAATTAACTTGATGCAGTAAATTTTATCTGGATTTACTGTACTGATACTGCATATATTTTTTTTCGTGTTCTGTAACCTACATTCCTATAATAAAGTAACAGTAGTGTTAAAATTGTATTAATTTCATTTATTTTAACCATACCCCATTACAATGGTAAATACTCACCATGTAGCTAATTTATTGTTCTGACTGTTATTAATAAACAAAATAAAAAAAAACAAATTATAAAATTTAATGTTCATTACACGACATCGTTCTCTTCACTCAACGAATGTTTTGTAAAAAGAAACAAATGTTTGCGTTCAAGTGATTTTAGTATTCCCCAACCGAAAAACCCAACCATTGCACTTATTGAAATTTTTTTCAGGTAATTCGAAGCCAATGACCAGATTTGCAATTGCCATTACTCTTAGCTTTGGGATATTTAAATCGTCGAATGCACATATTAATTTTTATTAATTCCACCACATAATTCACAACTGTCCTTAGTGGTATCAGTATTAAATTTACAGTTATTAGCTGATTGGATGTAGATCGTATGTTCGCAATCCATCGTCATTCATTGCATCAGAATAATATAATCAATCCTTCGGCCAAACAAACATTCACCGAGTGCGCTCCGCAATGGTGCACTCGAGGAACAAGTTTTCGATTGAAAATCTTTTCCTTACAATTATTTTTCTAATCACAACATTTATTATATTAATTTATACCAAATTATTGGTATACTTTACCAAATAATTATATTTTTTTTTCTTGTGAGATGACGCATAAATTATAATTCTATAACGTTGCCAAGACAACTAATAACAATATTAGTGAGTTTTGCTAGGCTTTGCTAGAAATAACAAATTTCCATACATTTCATAAACAGCAGTGCTAACTATAAGCCGCTGTGATTTGAAAGTCAATAAATCATAAGTCCTAACGAATTTAAAAATATAGTAGAGATGAAAAATAAAGAAATATAATTTTTTCAATTATTCAAGATTAAATAAAATGTAATCTAATTAAGCATAATTAGAGCTTCGCTATATACCAATTTCATTTTAACTATTATTGAAATAATATTATGATATACTTCGTTAATGCCGAAGAAGGCTGTTTTCACTTTTAAACATATTTTCATCAATACTATCACAACTTACAAAAAACTTCTGGTATATGAAGTAGTCTAAGTGAACCAATATGGACTTACGGCATTTCTCTGGGGCCATCAAGATTGCAATATATGAATAATAGCAGAAGAAACCAAAATATTTGCAACCAAATACAGGACAAGATTGGAAAACCATTCCAATTAACTTGCAAAAAACCTGCTCCAAATACTATTAGGATATTAAGATTAAACCCATTAGATTTAACATAGTTAATTTACAACTTCGATTTATAATTATTTAATATTGCTCTATTTAGATACCATCCAGATTCAGATTAAAAACCTTATAAATGCGCCAATAAGTTAATCACATTTCACGATTAAACAGATAGAATTATAGACATAATTATATTTTATTCATTATGAATTACATTTAGCGTTAATATTTGTGGACAGCAAACAGTAATTGATTTGAAGCGTGAAAGCGACAACTGCAGGCGAGTTTAGGCAAATGCTGGGATAAAACATCTTTAAAGATCAAGTTTGAATTTCGTGTTTCTATCATAAACCAGATAGTACAAAAAATAGTGTTTATATACAATAGCATTCCGCTTATAATATTCGCACGGTATCAGAAAAATGATATTACGTAAAACATTCATTTAGCATTGGGCATTATGTTTATTTCACATTGTGTACCCGTTGCAGACACGTGATTGTCAGTGATTTTAATTACTGCCATGTTTCAAGAACAGCTTTGATTATGAGATTTCGTAATAAATTATTAATTAATGTATTACTACTTAGGAACGATGATTATTGTATATATACAACGTTATAGGAAATAGCGTTTTTGACGAAGACTATGAGAAATAGTAGTAATAGAATGTTGAGTAGGAATAAAATGATTTTTTAATGTTTTTGCATGTACACTACCACACACACACATATATATATATATATATATATATATATATATATAATATAAGCTAACAAATAAATTGCTAAGAGAGGAGAGTAGGAGAAGAAAGAACTTTACTGAGCACGATTTTGAAAAGAATTAATCACATGATCGATTTTTTGAGGATTTTTGGACCATTCCTCGCCCTTGGTGATACGTGGTGACATTCAAAATTACCCTCTCGTCCCCCATTATATGTGTTTTTTAGTTACAAAAAAATGGTAAAACTTTTGATAATGTTTGGATTTTTTAAAAAAAGGTAGAAAATAAATACACTATACCCCTCCCTCCTGTGATTTTTTGTCCCCTCCCCATAAAACAAAGAAAAGGAAACTGGATTGGACCCATTTTGTAAAAAGTGCCTCCTACACGGCATCGTCAAATAAACATATATGAGTATGATGTTATTTAATTTAGTTAAAATATTAAACATTGAAGTTAAAATTATTTTACCTTTATAACATGCATTAGTAGGTACAGAAATCGTTCTGAAATATCCGTAGTATGAACAATAACGTAAAATACAGCGATGACATCATTATTGTGGGAAGTATATTAAAATATAAAGGCCTCTAGAATCTTCGAGTTACTATGATAATCAATGCCAATTATGTTATTAGAGATAAATATTTATTTCAATTATGTTTTTAAATACTATAGTTTAAACAAAATGGATAAGTTGGATGTGCTATTAATGTGGTTTAATTATAAACAATTTTGTGTAGCATAGCATTAGAGAGTTTTGAATTTAAATTGCATTGATATCAATATTTAGAGAAAAATAGA